GCTGAGAGTATTCTTCTTCTTTTTCATGGCATTCAGGGCATTTTTGGTGACCTAAACATGTGGTGAAAATTAGATTAAGATTTGAAAAGTTGGTGTGGCAAAATGACTCTATAGCGCCACCTAAAACATTTCTGATAATGGTACGTTATTTGTCATAGGCAAATGAAATTAGTCAAATGTGTGGGCTACGAAGACTCCATCGGTCTTATCTTAAGGCATATGTGATGTTCGATTGCAAAACTTTTTTTGAATATGTGCAGACGGTGGTAAATGAATTAAAAAAAAAATTGCCATTTTACTATAAACAGAAAGTTATTATTCAGCCGTACTGTTTCTGATTGGTCCCAAATTTACCAACAATCTTAATAGTAAAAGTCTGAACACATCTAATATTTAAACTGACGGTTATAGCGCCACCAGGTGGCCACATGCAATAAAAATTACATTGTTAAGGTACTTTTTTTTTAATCAAGGATGAAAAAAAATGGCCGAAACTATACAGAAAAATATTTTGACTAATTCATACCACCACATGGGGGACATGGCACTTTGCGATTTGTTACACTTCTTGTATTGGTCAGTAATTGTAACAATTCTAGCTTGAATTCATCTCCGAAAAAAATGATTGGTTGTAGTACCACCAAGAGGCAATAGTGCCAGTGGTGCGAGAGCCCTTTAATCGCTGCCTGCAGATTTAATGTTTATATATATTTTTTTGCCTCGTGCTTTGAGGCAGATTTAGTCTATTTTCATTGTTAAACTGCAAGGGGCCTCTCGTGGCTTTTCATAAAGCTAAAGAACAGGGCAAAAAAAGAGAGCAAAAGTAATAATAAAAAAAAAAAGTATTTTAAAGTAGTATTTTCTTGGCGTCAATGAAGTCCTGACTGAACTTTAATGAACATTCAAAAGCTCTGAGTTGTTCCTTTCATACTTGATTCACATTAGGAAGTTATCATTTGATTGAATCTGATGAATCTTTCAGAAATGCTCAGGTTCTGACAACAGTGCTGAAGGTTTAATTTCAGGTATGAACACACACTTTATCACTGCACACAATGAAAAGGATGAAAGATTACATTAAATGCAACACATTTAGAGCATTTCTGTAGCACGGTCAATAAAGCTTGAAACCAGCATTTCCTTTAAACACCAAAAGAATCAATTTAAATGCTTTCGGACTGTTTAGAATCAGAATCAAACTCTGTAATCTACACCTTTTAAAACGACCAGCACCTCAAAGAAACCAGTCTAAAAACATTTAAAGCAAACGGCGCCACATTCATAGACACACACTGAGGATCTCAGCTCACTAATGACTTCTTGAAGAGCAAGAGCTTCACTGAACGACAAATGAGATCTCATATTATGTCTCAGTCATCACTTTTAATCTTTCCATCGATCTCTCCAACACAGCAGACAACAGAAACAACTAATCTGACACCAACTCATTACACGTGTCATCTTGGAGCGAATCAAGCATCTCTCATGAACGTTAAAGTTCCATCAAAAGAGTATCTAAGCAAATCCCACCCGCTTCTGTGTAATAGAGTAGTGTATTTGTGTGCAGCATGAAAGAGTCTTCCGAGTGCTACAAAAAGATTGGAAAATCTCACAATGTGAATCTCCAGCCAGGATCTCTGTGCTTAACAGCAGGGACTTTCTTTTGAAACACTGAAATGACAGCATCCACCCAAGCAGGTCAATAAGAAGAGCTCTTACCTGTCAAGACAAAGCAGAAAGAAAAAGAACACCGTGAGACCCAATAATGAAACAACCTTATATACAGGAAGTTACTCTTAAATATGATACTCTTGCTTCACTTTCTAGAGATTACTTAGTGCACATCAGTTTCAATGTGTATTTAAAGGTTTTAAATGATTAATCGCAGGAAAATCTGTTGTATGTATTTGCCTTTAAGTGCATCGTTCCTCTTTCATGGAATTGCAGAGTACTCCAGAAGCACAGGGGCACATTTCTCAGGTTTTATTTCACATTCTGCTTCAGATTAAGGTAAACAGTTGACTGTAGTTCTGTTGATAATCTGTTTGTTTGTCGTTCTTGATGTGTTTTATATTATGTTCCAGGTCTCGTCTCTGTGCTGATTGGTCACACACACAGAGACTGATTAGTGCTGATTAGGCCGAGCGGGAGCTGAGCTGCTGCACCTGAGCAGTGATCATTAGTTCCTAACGAGTGTCCCTTTATATGTGCCATGGTTAGCTTCAGAAGTTCTTGGGCTTCTTCTTTAGGTAACACTTGATGGAAACAGCCTAGCTAGTTAATATATATGGCTTTATGTTGTCTAAAAGCTATGTTACAGACTCTTCCTCATGTTTAAGTGAGTTTCCCACGTCTTGGGGTGTTGACAATCATTTTTGTGTCCAATAGTTATTAAATATTCTTTGCGGTTTTCTCATTTCCCTTGAATTTGGGTTCTGAGCCTACAGTGACTTAAGAAGTGTGATGTGTTGGAGAGCTAGCTAGTCAACAGCAATGAGGATCATGGAGTTCTTTTTTTTGACCTACTAATCTAGGGGTGTGTACAAAAAAAATTCCCAGTTGGGTTCAGTTCTAAAAGTGCCTGTTACCCACCAAGATGAACTTAATTAAATGAATCTGTTGAATCTAAACTTCTGTACCATTCCATAGTCCCCCAAAAAAGTTAAGAATTCTTGCCACGGGTGGTTTAATAATGATCACATCTATTTGTTATGGTATGTTGCATTATTTACGAACTCGGCCTGGTTTGTCAAGTTTAAGTCTTCCACTTCTCACATTGACTAGGCTGGGTATGCATATTTTCTCTGATTTTTAACCTTTTTAAAATTCTAGAATAAAATCTAGTAACTTGTTTTTACTGTATGCTTCATCTGCAGTGATGTAATAAATTGAAAGCTTGACACCCTCTGATTTAAAAGATAAGCAGTACTGCTTTGTCATAAAAAAAAGCAAACCTATGTCAGATTTATTATTTAAATACATTTAAGTTGATTTCGTCAGCTTATAAGAAGGATTACTTGGCGGTGTTGGTTAAACCCATAGAGTTCCTCTTATCATTTAGAAGGATTTAAATGAGCAGTGCATTATGAATCTATTTTCTGCTAAAAGGAGGAGATTCTCACATTTTTCTTACAATTTTACTCTTTTGAGGTTTGTTTTCAGAGACTTTTCTGGAAATAACAGTTTGTATTCTTAGTTTCCACCAGGAGTCACGCTTGAATTGTTTTGGGGTTAAATATGTGCAACATACTATTACTAATAAGTAGAGTAACAGAACCCCCAAAAAATTAGGTTGGTTTTAGCTTCTATCTGCAGGAGTCGGTCTGTTTAATGTGTAACCATGGCAATATGTGATGATGGAACTCCACCTGCTCTATTGTATGTCGCCATGCTTAAAGTACTTAAGTTATTTTAAAGGTTTTACTATGAGGCTAAATAGAAATATAGTTTTTATTTAGGAATATTTTGCCACCTTGGGTGAGTAGATTGTAAAACAAAACAAACCAGTCAGCTCTCCCCAGTTAAAATTGAATAAGGGGTTAATAAGGTGCTTTTATTCTTGAACGTTTGTATTGATCAGTGCACTACTCTAAATGTAAAACCCTGAGCTGGCTTAAATTCACGTAGCTATTTCAAAAGATTTTTTATTCATTAAAAGTGTATTTAATTCTAACTGAATGAACTCTTTGGATTCATTATTTTGACATGCCTAGACTAGTGATTTACATTTCCATGTCTTGTATCATGTGAAGAAATCAGCCAATTAGCTCCTTGTGATTCCTGGAACCTCACCATGCATTAAAAATATAACATTTGGATTTTATGTTTAATCACATAGCAAGTGATAAATTAGAGGCGATTATTTCACAGAATGAAAGATTAATAATGCAACGTAAGAGTCTTCACTTACTACTAATTTGAGCTAATACTGTCTAGCATCATCCCTTGATGGCTAGTGGTGGAAAGATGAATAATGTATCCTCCTAGAGACATCCTCAGGTCTACAGCTTATCTTTGTAAATCCTATACGACCCAAGCGTAAGTCTATGTGAATCTTTAAAGTCCTCTCCAGGGTTTTTGCACTCTGTATGGATGTATTTCTACACTCGCTCTCTGGAAATGCGGAATAATGACCGTAATTTCTGATCTGTTACCACAAAATGAAATCGTTCTACTTGTGAGTATCGGCCAGATGTTCCCTTTAACCCCAAAAGCAGAAATGAAGTGTTCTACCCATTAATGGACAGTGAATGCCAGTGCAGAACATTTACAACCTTGGGGTCTGTATGGACGCCTGCAGCCTCAAGCACAATGCCATTTTAGAGCTTTGTAAGGTGAAAGAACCCTCACTTATAAGTATTTAGTATGCCACTGTGCAGGAAGCCTAGGGAGGTGGAGGACACCTATGATATGCATTATTAATGTGCTCATAACTGCCATCCAAAGCCGCAGTTTTGGTCCGGTCATCTATTGAGCGACAAATTTACAGCCTTGCAATCCATTCTCAAGGTGGAATTAATTTATATTGTACAACTTTTCACCCTTAGTAGTCCAGGGCCTTTTTGAGATTTTTTTTATTTACTATTTTATATAATAATTTACCATTCAAACAGTTTTTCTGTGGCAATTCTCGATATCCTTTCTCAGTACAATCCCAGCTTCTTTTTTTACAGATATTTTCCATTATATTACGCAGTAACATAACAAAAAATTATACTAGAATATTTTGTCATTTTGTCAGCAAAAATTGAGAAGATGTTTTAGAACAAAAATCAAAAGTGTTCAGACAAAATAAAATGTATAAATAAAAATAAGTGAAAAGATAAGGTAAAAACAATTCTATAATACCAATCTACTGTATACTAAGGTTCTAAAAATGTAAAAATGCTCCATATTGAGTGTCAAAAAAGCTCACACATATGACCTCTCTAAACTGGTGGCTCAATTCAAGTCAATTGAATTTTCTTTAGGTAGTGTGACCGTGGCTTTATAGATAAATGCAATGGATGCTCAGTTGGTAGAGCATTGCGCTAGCAACGCAACGGTCATGGGTTCAAATCCCAGGGAAATGTCATATATACAAATATGTCATATACATAGAAACACCAACTTCCTGCTTTTATTATGTTTGTTTTTGCCAGCAACCACAGTTCATTTCATTGGCTGCCGTTAGAGTGATTAAAGGTCAGAAACTTCCTGAAAAAAATAAACACGCTATTCTCTCAAACTATCTCAGCTTGAAAGCTCAGTAAATTCAGAAAACATTACAAGATTTTTTTTTAGAACATATCAAGAGTTGTGTTAGTTGATGCTACTTGTTTTCATTGGATATAACTCAATGGGCTGCTGCGGCAGAAGAGAACCCATGCCTCTCCTGTCTGCTAAGAAAGGTAAATTATGTATAAAATATTAGTTTAAGAATGAGCAAAGTAAGTGCACTTATTTCATCTAGTCAATACAGTGAAATATACATCACAGAATAACATATCATCTTATTCAGATGCAGCAAATTGATCTTTAAAAGTAAGATCTTTTGACAAGAAAATACTCAGTGTGTTGTTAAAGAGAAAGGAGTGTGGAGTTGGCATGGTGTGCTTCTCCTGGCTTACCAAATACCTCTGGGTATATCGATCTAGGGATGTTTTGGGGTGCTTGGGAGCAGGCTGTGTGGAGCGCATGAAAGGTTATGTTGGAAAAGGTCTCAGTGCTAGAGTGGAGCAGCAGTTTGTTTAGCTGTGCTGTTCTGAATGCTAAAACTGAAGCGTTACTGCAGCCACTATCAGGAGTGTCTGAGCCGAGGCACTGCTGGAATGCTCAAAATCTCTCTGATACACGCGACACTTCTCAGCAAAATTCAGCAAAAGGCAGCATGCAGGTCCACTCAACATACTGAGAGCTGTGTTTGAATGATCTGCTTGTATAACGGACCCATGGAGTTACATTGCTGGTACATATCTCCCACTTCATGCACACAAAGAGGTAGAAGTGAGATGTAAAAATTGTTGGAGCTATTGGGAGATATGGTCTAGGAGCTGAAGTGCATTTGCTTCTTAAAGTGATTGTGATTCAAGTTACTGCTGAAACTTCTTTAGCTTGTGTTTAACGTAACATTTACTAGGAGACAATTATCCTTTACTCACATTTTAAACAATAACGTTATCTATCTCCAACACTTAAAAAACACTCTCCAAGAGTAAAAAAATTAATGCAAACTTTAAAACTGCCCCCTAGTGGATGGATGGTATCAAATGCTCTCTTACAAATCAAAGCCAAGACCCAAACCATCCTAACTTTGTGGTGTCAAAACTTTTTAAGTTCAAATGCTCCAATGATGGTTCATTATATAAACAGTTTTAATAGTTGGTTAAAATATCGTGACACATATCGCATTGTGGAAATGATATCGACGTATGTTTCGTATCGTGAGCAGAGTGTATCACCGCACCCCTATGTAATACTTGTACATTGATTCATCTGGTGATTTTTATGTTTAGATAAAGATGTAATTGCCTCTAAAATTGGACCGGAATAGAGATATTGTGTTTTTCTTGAATTCATATCTATAAACCAAACAGTTATGATTCACTGTATACTACAGGATTAACAAATATATTACAAAAATAACTGATATATTGAATTATCTTCTGCAATGGATGCATTTTTAAGTGGTATGAACACTTCATCACTGTTTGTAAATTAACAAGGGTGCATAGATGGGGTCGTGCCATCCAAGAATGAACCCTGCTGAATGACAGGATAGGTTACAGGCAATTCTTTCTGATTGGTCGAGGCAGATGATTAAGCTGTCACCCTGTGCCCTGAGCAAAGCCTGCTGGGAGAGTGACACAGTGGGACTCTAGCTGGTCTCTCATATAGTTGATGTGGCCTTTTCAAGCTTCTCTCCCCCTCTCTTGCAGTTTGAAAGCTTCTGAAAAGCTGAATGAAGATGGTGACAGTAAAAAATGCTGCTGATAACTTGCACTTGACTGGCTTCAAGATCTGCCATTAAATAAAATCCAACAGGTTTTAGTTAAAAAGATTCTGTCCAAACCCAATGTAGAAAACTGATTCTATGGAATGGTGTATTGGTTTGTTCTCAATCCCCCCCCCCCCAATGCTAAGAATGTAAACAGTTAAAATACACCTCTCATAAAACGACTTATACAATTAAATATAAACTTAAAAAAACACAAAATTTTGAAGCATAAAATGATTATTCACTTTAAATATTCATTAGTTTTATAAAAAAATTGCTTTTTTTTCAATACCAAAACAAAACATTGGATAATTGAATGCTTGTGAAGAGAAAGGAATAGAATAATTTAAATTCAACAGTGCTTCTAGTTCCACATTGCCCCCTGTGGCTCAGTGTGGCTGCTGCAGGACATTAACATGCTGGAAAAGCACACTAGGCAATGAGCCAAAGGAAATCTCATGCTTGCCATGATGGTTAACAGCCTTCGGGTATTAGAGCACTTTATCTTTGAGCCCGCAGGAGAAGGATGCGACTGTAAGGTACAGGGTGAAGGGCAAACTGAGGAGTGAAATCACTTTCTTTAAAGACAGGGCTAAAAGGAAGTACCGGTTAAAAAATAACTGCCATCAATGTGAAGAGCTGTAATCTCAGAAGAGGCCTGCACAGCTTGAAATCAACAGTAGCAACATATAATATGTGTTTGAAGGTGTGTGTGGTCATTTCTGTAGACCAGATGTGACCAATGGCTCACATGAGATTCAATCGTGAACAATGTCATGTCTATACTGATGGGTTTTCAGACAAAACAAATTTCTGTATGAAGAAAATAATGATATGATGATATTGATCATTTTCAATGTGTGCAGTTGCACTTTTCAGCACTTTCAGATTTAATGTACTCAGACACACAAATTGACCCAGAAAAACAAAAAGTCGATTGTTGATAATGACAGAAAGAAAAACAAATATATTGTCTGTTGGAACATTACTTGGAACATCTGTCAGGGTGACACTTTTACAGAACATTAGATATAGACACACAGATTGCCAGTTGAAATAAAGCATATTAGAGACAGACATTGATTATTTGGAACTTATATGTGATTGATTCTTGGAAAAAGAAAAACATTTGGAAAAACACACGGACAAACTGTTGAAAAAATACACATAATGATAAAAAAAGCATGAATTGTTGGAACATTACCTGAAACCACTGTTATTTGAAACAAAACATTGGTCTATCTTCACAAACTATTTGCTGAAAAAAATGCATGTAATGAAAGAAAATGGGTTGAATTGTTGGAACATGGACAAATGCCAGATTTATTCTTGAAACAAAACATTTGGCTAAACATATAGATAAAATGATCAATTGTTGAAACAAAACATATGATTCCAAAATGACAGAAAGAGGGAGATTCATTGTTGGAACATTACTTGTAACAAGTGCAGATTTGATTTTTTTTGTGCATTTTTAATGCATGTCATGATGGAAAGACAGAGCAGAGTAAATTGTTGGAACATTTCTTGAATCACGTGCCATATTTATTGTTGAAACATATTGGGCTAAACATACAGACAAACTGTTGAAATAAAGCATTTAATGATGGAAAGATGTAGATGTTAATTGTTGGAACATTACTTAGAACAAACAACATTATTTTTGAAAGAAAACATTTGGCTTAATATACAGGCTAACTAATTGTTGACAAATAGAGATATAAAGAAAAAGAAGTGAAGTGTTGGAACATGGCTTGAAACAGCTACTAGATGGATTGCTGGGGCTGTCAGATTCAAATTTGAAAAAAAAAACACATTTTTTGAACATTATTTGGAATGATTGTCAGCCAACTGTTTGAACATCTTAGGAAAAAAACATAAGACAACAGAAAAATAGATATAGATAAATAGTTGACACCATTAAAAGCATTTAATGGCAGAGAGACAGGTTGATTTTTGGAACGATAAATAGTCAGATAGATAGCTGTACAGTTAGAGGGGTCAGCAGATGTTACTGATAATGAGATATTAGATATATATATTAGAGATTGTTTGAGAGTAAATGAGATATCATGTAATAGTTATTCAGACAAAAAAAAAAGAATAATGTAGCAAAATTATATATATTTATATACATTCTGCTCCCAGAAACAGAACAAAAGTGACTGAGAGATAATTTGCAGGCTCATCACAGCACAGATGGATGAGAGCAGCTATACCATAACAAAGAAGGCGTGAGAAAGAGACATAGAGAGAGAGAGATGGGGGGACAACAACAAAATGAGCGATAATGATAGTGTCTTGCAGCCCAGCCTCCCGTACAATATCAATGCATGTGAGTGCAGGCTCCTCTGAGAGCAATCAGTGTCTAAAGAACACATAGAAGTGCCAAATCACTCTTCCTCAAACTGCAGGGTGAAGGTGATACCAGCCATTTTAGCCCACGCTGACATCACAGTAATCAGACACTCTTGAGACCTGCTCTCTGGCCAGTAATTTTCACATATTGGTGAAAAAAGAGCTGTAAACACTCTCCCTCACAACTAACACTCTCATTCTCACTCTTGCTTCCTTTTGAACAGAACTACAAATCGCAAATATCTGATGAGCTATTTGCTTCAGTCAATAACGTCAAACCACAGTCTGGATCACGAAAGTAAATGCTTTGTTCTGATTCAGTTTCCAACACAATTCAGTGAAACTGCACAGGATTTAATACGGCTAATCTGAGAAATCTACTGGCTTTGATAAACTCAACAGAAACCAGGTTCTTTTGTTGATTATTTGATCAACATAGAAAAAGATTTATTTTGATAAACATTTTACCTTGTTCCACTTTAGTGACTTGGTGTTTCCATTGAATATTTGAATGCTCTAAGTGGTTTCTATTGCTAATGACTTCATAGATTCATCAAATATGTCCTTTACTGCGACTTCAGTTCTAAAATATGGTTCATGGCTCACTCTAAACAAATACCAATACTTCTTGGGCATTTAGCAGCAAGTATTAGCCTAATATAATTCATACATACTTATATAGTTCTGCACGTTTCCAATTATTACTGTGTTTAACTGGTGAACTTGTTAATTAGCAAG